AACCGGGAAAGGCTCACGGCGCTTTTCACACAGCTTGCTGGAAATCCTGGCAAAGAGGGCCGAAGCAGCTTTCCCCTGGCCGCCAGTGGTTGCAAAAACCACAGGAACAAACGAGGAATGCTCAACCTCCAGGACTCGCCGTTCATCTTACGTCTCTTCTCCTGCTCGTGCTTTCTGTAGACAGACGGGAGAGTAAGGTTTCGGTTGGAGGGGACAAAAGGGTTAAACACCCGAACATCAAACATTGTCCTCTCTAACCTACTCCCATACACTCCACGTGCTGCCACATCAAGACGAGCATGAGCCTCCGTGTTGGCCGACCGGAGAGGGAATGTTTCACCAGAGAGGGGTTCCAACTCTGGCTCCACGCTGACGTCAACCGCAACCTCACGCAACAGATTAGCGGTTAGATCCCAGAGCTCATTGTGGCGCATCCCAGTGAATCCTCAGATGGCACATGATAAGGCATGGGTGGTGTCGAAGGGCTTTCCACAGGTGCAGTGAGACGGCAACCGGGGAGGGGTCCAGCCGTAGCGCAGACATAGGGCATCCCGGAAGCCAGCCATGTGGATGGTTGTTGTTGTTGTTGTTTATTTATTTTACATCGCATAGCAAACGGGCAGTTCTGCCCAATATTATGAAAGCGATGACAACCAGTAAGAAGAGTCAGAAATGAAGAGAAAATAAATGAAAATAAAAATACGAATGGTAAACTGGAACCGGCGAGATGGCCGACTAGTGAGCCAACTGGAGGCACCTTTCTCTGCGGCTAGATCCAGAGTCCGCCTGTGGTCGTCACTCAGGGTATCCCTGAGGGAGGAGAGGGCCATTGCCTGATCTTGGCGATTAGCTGTGCGTTGGGCCGCCTTGGCTGCCTTGGTGGCAGCAACAACTTCCTCGATGGATTCCTCCTGTCGAAGGAGCTGCTCGACTAGAGGTCTGGTGACAGCCGTAGACGTGTCGTACTGCTGGGAAAGGGTCCCTGGGTTTAGAATTCCCAAACAACCATGACGACACGGAAGCGCCAGGATGGCACGTTCTTCCTCGCCGGGGGCCTGGCGACCAGTCAGTGCAGGGAGGAAAACTTGGCTGATGGAGTTTTCCAGCGGTGTCAGGAGGTCCACGATGGCTGGCATTGTCCTCGCAAGGAATGACCACTTATGGCGGAGAGACCATGGGTAAGGACAGCAAAGCAGCCTGAGGTTGAGACGCCGCATGTTTGGCGAGGGTCTGCAGCTCTGTGCACCATGTGTCAACCTTCTGCGACACGTAACCGTCGCAGAACAGGGCAGAGCCTAGGGCAGCACCAAGATGACGATAGCCGTCCGTCCGGATGTTAACCCCGGTTGTGGCAAACAATTCTGTTGCTAGCGCAAGATGTTGTGGCTTCACGAGGAGAACGGACTTTGACGGGTTGATGTCGTAACCATACCTGGTGCCTCGATCTACTAGGATGGACCACCAGGTGCGCATTCGTCGGAGAGCGCCGGCTGAAGTTGCGTCATCGGCATAAATGCTCGCGTGCTTGCATGCACTTGGAGTATGTACGGTGTACGGGATGAGCTGTAGCACCGGCGGTTGCTGCAGGCGCTAGGCAGCTTTGCACCTGCAGTACATGTACTGGTGCCACTGGATCAACGATCATTGACGCAGTGATGATCGATCGTCAGCCGTTTCGGTGTCGCATTGCGCTGCGCGGCGCTGCATGCAGTTCACAGGGTTCAAGCCCTGTTCCTGAATCCTGGCGTGACATCCGATCCGTCGTGTCAAAACTGACTTGGACCAACGACCTCTAGAGCTCTGCACGGGCATGCAGGCGCATGGTTAGTAGGACGGTTGATCTTCTTCTCGCCTTCTGCTGCGAGTGGTGGTAGTTGAAGTAGGAGTTAGATCAACTAACTTTTCATCGTTAAACATGTCGTCAGACTATCACTAAGACTCCGAGGATTTCCAGCTGATAGTGCCGGATTCGCCGCCTTCAACGCCTCCGCGAACGCCTTGGTTCGACGACGAAACATCGTCTTCGGATGAGAGTCGTGCGGAGGAGCCGTTTCTGGTGTATGACGACGATCTTTCCGCTTGATCTGATGATGGTTCCGTACCTCGTCCACCCGCAGCTACGAAGAGAAGGATTGCAGTGTCTGATTCGTCGTCTGACTCGGATGCAAGTGAAACTGAAGCAGTTGAAACACAGTCTGTGGCTGCTGTACCCGCTGGCAAAAAGAAACGGCGTTGTGTGAGCTACCAAGCTGTCTAGGAGGAGAACCCTGTGCTGAAAGATTGGCTGACCAAATCAAAACACGCGGATGGAAAAGCCTTCTGCAAAAATATGCCAGAAGGACTTGGAGTTTGGGAATGGAGGAGCATATGACTTGGAGCGCCATGGAAAATCGGTGGCTCATCAGAAGCGAGCTAAGTCTACGAAGACGCAACCCAGTCTTTCTGCTACAGTGTCGCAGGCCTCTGCTATGTCGCAAGCGGTGACTGATGGTGAGCTGTCAATGGCCTTTTACATTACCACTGTTTGTCATACTGTGCAGTTCATATGCAATGTTCTTCAGTGGCAACCACCTCCGTTTTTTCTACATGCAAAATATGCCAATATTTAATGGTATAGCTGTAGTTCCTACAATTTCGGAGACTTCTTTTTCAATATTGGTGTATGATGTATGTGCTTGGAATACAATAAAGCAGCAAGTGTTACTGTAGAACGCTGCTACAAGACTACGGTTGCTGCATAATTGACATGATTGTAGTGCGTGTGCTGGACAGTTAAAAATGTGTTCTGGGGCCCCAACAGCAAGCCATTTCCTAAAAATTTTCATCGCGGGGCCGCTGCCCCCCCCCCCTCGGGAGATACCCCCGGACCCCGTCAGATTTTTCTCCCTCCAAGTGTGGCAGCCCTGCGAATGTCCCTTTTATCCAAATGAAAAACGCTGCGCAGTTGTACTTCGAACAGTGCACGGCACTTTCAAGACCTGACCATCCTAGCCTGCAAGATCGGCACTGACTTTTCGTTTGACCTTTGTTTTCCATTCTCCTCCTATGCCCTCATCATTTGTTGGTATAGTAATAGGAATTGAGGCACAATCAAAAGTTCGGCTTGCTGTGTGGCGGGGGCCAGTGGGACAACAACGCTATTTCATTACGGCGCGCTTTGTATGCGTAGACGCCGAGAACTTTGAGGTCGGCAGAGCCGCCTGGCCCCGCCAACACTTCTCGCACATATCCGGGAGTACAAGGAAAGTTGGGTGTGGTCCTCGAAAGAGTGCTCAATGCACTGGGGTGCAGAGCTTCATACAAAAAGAATGGGATACGGAGCTTGGGTTGGCTGTGACTCAGAGTTTCACGCCTGTCTCGATCATCAGGCAGCAATGATTACAAAAACTCAATGAATGTTCTTGATATAGTGTGGTAAGGTGCTAGTGGTATCAGAGTATCCGAGAATATAGTGGACTTTCGTATAAAAAATAAAATAAATCTTTGCAGAGTGAGAAAGAGAGAGATTATTGAAGAGAGGGAGCTCGACTGAGAAACAACGCAATATAAAGGGCCTGGGTAGCTATGGCAAACATGGGCGCGCAAGTAGCTACCCAGGCCAATAGAACGAAAGGTGAGTATGACGTAGTACGGGTGCATGCAGGCCGGCCAGCGTAGGAAAGGTTGTAAGTAAGTTTGTACTGGAGGAGGTACCTAACAGTTGTTATAATAATGGAGAAACAATCAAGAGTTCGCGTTGCTGTGTGGCGGGGGCCGGTGGGACAACAACGCTATATCCATTTCACTAAGTCCCCATCCAAATAGCAAAGGGCTACAGCCGACAATCACAGGTGATACGCAAAGAGGAAAGGCATAAAGGACAGGCGCAATCAGATCCTACACAGAGAGGTTGCGTCTACCTGAGCGTAACGATTAAGACTTTGAAAGAAGGTCAGAGCTCATTGAGAGAATGGAAGACGGGCAGTAACTGGGTACCGTTAAGAGGTGAAACCATAATACAGTGGTCCCTCTATAATCCGGCACCATTTGTGCCACGAAAATCTGCTGGATTAGGGAGGGTGCTGGATTAACAAATCTGATCTACTGCTGCAATGTGCATGAAGAGGACATTTGGCTACTGAAAATTGTGCCGGTTTATCGAGGATGCTGGATTATAAAGTGCCGGATTAGAGAGGGACGACTGTAGTTGGATGTAAAGGGTTACGTGCATAGGATACCCTGACAGCGGCGCACAGTAAATGGAGCGGGAAAACTTCCTACATTTTCAGAGCTGCCCTACAGTGCCTAATGCAATTTTTTCTGTTTTAGGAAACGCGGAACGAAGATTATAATGAGGCCCTTTAGACTAATTGAATCCATGAGTCATTCGCCCTTTGTGGATACTTCTCTAAAACAATGACAGAATCTACTTGAAAAGCATTGAAATTTCCATAACCTTCAACTTTATAGCACGCACTTCCATTATTTCTGCTCCATTTCTTCATTTACCTAACAAAAAAGGGGGCTGCCAACATAACAAAATATTAACTAAACGAACCTAAAAAAACCGGTTTTTGTACCTTTTCTAACGCCATGATCCGCCATAGACTATGTGTCCGTGGGGAAGTCCCCGTTTAGGTATACTGTTAAACGTCATATTCAGTTCTCACGCAATTTGTAACAATTCAAGCCAGTATATTTTTCATGCTTGGGTGAGTCGTTATTTTTCTGCAGTGTCAAAGTAACTTTAGAAATTGTGTTTTCTTAGCTTTTCAACTAACCTCTTGCTTGACAATAGAGGAAAAATGCCGGAAACTATATGTTACAGTGGTGTATGTGAACTGTGCAACCTAACCCAGTTGCAAACGAATCATGTTGTGGTTAGGAGTCTAGATTTTTTCTGAAAACAGGGTCATGATTCGGCCTTATAGATTAGAACCACTACATCCTAGATTAGGTGTTTTGTGCACTACCCGGAACTATGCAAGAACAACATTGTCTTTGTGCTTTATCGTTTGTAGACGTTTGGACTTAAATCAGATCCAGACTTTAAGTGATGGTGTGTTCTCTGGTCTACCAAACCTCCAAATACTGTAAGTATTATCAACTGCATCAATGAACGCAGAGAACACTTGTATAACTTTGTGTATATAGAGTACTGCCGAACACGTGATGAACAAACCTCTAATATCTGTGAGTATTAGTATCTGCTGCACTGGATTGAAGGGAACAGTTGTAAACACTTTGTGTAAAGCGCTTGTTGCATAATATCATTTTTACTGGAAAGAAAGACGTTTCATGGCTCAATTTTGTTGTGGTCCTTCAGTTTATTTTGTTTTGTTTTGCACTCTCCTTTTCCCCCAGTTGGACTGTTTTGGTTTCACATCCAGTTTGTGCATGCACCATGGAACGGTTACGTCATTGTCATGCGTTTTGTTTGCGCGCATGCTCATGTGCTACCATTATGTTTGTCATTTTCTTCGTTTTCTAGTTTCCCTTGTTGTGTCCAGTCTTCTTTGTTTGTCCGTTGCCCATCTCCGTCTTGTCGAATAATAAAATTATGTAACACTTTAGTTCAGTTTTGTTGTTGTGTATGGCGGGTCGCATAGGCAGGGAGACTGGGCGCCTGACGCGTGGACAGTATGTGCAGGAGCACAAAAGTGCTTTATCATTCTAGTGACCCGTCAACGTCTATCGCCATGATCCACGAAGGACCTATGAGTCCCTGGGGAAGTCTCCATTTCGGTATGCTGTTTAATATTATATTCAGCTCTGACACATTTTGTAACATACTCAAGCCAGAATGGTTTTCATGCTTTGGCGCTCAGCTATATTTCTGCAATATCAACCAAAGTATCGTTAGAAATTGTGTGTTCTTAGCTTTGCAACAAACCTCATGCTTGACAATAGTAGAAAAATGACGGAGACTATATTTTACAGTGTTATATGTGAACTGCGCAACCTAACCAAGTTGCATATGAATCATGTTGTGGGTTAGGAGTCTAGGTTATTCCTGAAAACAAGATCATGATTCGGCCTTTTAGATTAGAACTACCCCCCCCCCCCCTCTACCCTCTCTACCCCTCTATTCTATCCTGCCTGTTTTGCATGCGGATGCAGTTTTTTGCGCTCCGCCCAAAAGTGAGATTTTGACTCTTTTCGTAGTTCGATGAGCCTTTGGCTCCCGTGGACCCGCGGAAATGAAGATGAATGCTGAGATAGACCTCGCTCTGCTTGGCTTTGACAGGCTGAGAGAGCTGGGACGGCAACAGGGTATTGTTGGATGCGATGGCCTCGCAAGACCGGAACTTGTCTGCGCGCTGCGGGACGCTGGAATTGGATCTCACTGGACCTGTAGCAGTAAGTCGCAGTCTGACACTCTAACTAGCCTAGTAGTAGACCAGGACACTTGCCTCACCAAGGAGCTATCCTTGATAACATCAATGAAGGCCGAAATACTTACATTGAAGGACGATTAGGCCGATCTACATGCATTGTCTGTACCCCATGACAGTTCGCAGAGCTACCACCCTGCTGGAGCTCTTTTGAAACCAACTCCGACTCGATTGCCAAGTGGTGTACAAGACGAGAAGTACAAGTGATAAAGTGTTCAGTCTCCGAAACCAAGTACTTTGGAGTGGCATTCGCCCACGTCGTCATTCAAGCGGAACACAAGGAAGCAGCCCTCGGCCCAGATTTCTGGCCTCCGGGGGTCACTGCAAGAGAATGGCGCTTTAAGCAGGACAGGGTCACCTCTGACCACGGTTCAAATCAGTAAACATGTCTTCTCTAAATCCATTCGCACCACCCTTCACTCCCAGATCACATCCTCCTTCACCACCTCCCAACCCTCTTCCCCGTCTCTCATTCGGCCACATCAACATATGCAGCCTGCGCAACAAAGTTTTCGTCATTAAGAAACTCATTGCTGATAACGCCCTAAACATACTCGCAGTCACTAGGGACCTTTCGCATTTGCTACGAAACGAATGCGAAACGAAAGTTTGATTTGGCTCGTAATCGTTTCGTTGAAAACAGATTTCAGGTTTCGCAAGGCGAAGGACTAAAGGGACCCTCACTTAATTTTTACCGACTTTCCCGGCAAAAAACACATTTCGACACGCGTGTGTGCTGGACGTCTGCGCGTGCACGACACGACGTGTGAGATGGCTGACAAGTGAGAGCCAGGGAGTCGTCAAGGACTGGCGTTTGACGACTCCCGGCCTGGTGAGAGCATGCATGTCCAGCTGGCGTGAAAAGGAACCTGTAATTATTTTGTAGATCCAGGGCTGAATCACGATGTTTGTTTTGATGTTTGGATACTTGTTGCAATGGCTAGTGATGGAAATGTTACTGTGACTTTTCCAAGTCCTACTGATATACCTTGTCAAATCAGGTGCCCTGCGGTAGTTTTGGTGGAGGCAGACTGGAATGCGTTGAATTCGTAGCTTCTGAAATTGAATTTTTTTTTCTTTCTGGAGTGACACTGACAAGCGATAGCATTGGCGACAGAAGAACTTTGCTTCCTTCCAGGAGAGCTGCATCACAGTCGGATCCTGTCCATGCACATGCGATCATGCTGTGTTGAAGACAGTGGAGAGCTGATTTTTGATCAGAGAAAATATTTTTGACCATTCATGAAGAGGATATTGTTGCTGTAGCTAGCTGACAGACATAACCTGTGGCAGTGGTGTATGGAATCAGCTTGCAAGGTCTGTAGCAACTTGATCATGCAGAGAAGGAGCTGAACTGCACACGGACTCGCTACTGTTCTCGCAAGATTATTGGCTTCTCTTTTTTTTAACATTGAAGATACACAGGTTGAGAGAAAAGAGAAAGAGCGACACAGAGATCAAAAGACGCAGAGAGATACAGTGTATGTCAACATGCGTGTGGAGATGTTCAACGACAAAGTGCAGTGGATCCATGCTTTGTGAGTACGAGAGAGAGAGAGAGAGAGAGAGAGAGAGAGAGAAAGAGAGAGAAAGCGAGAGAGAGAGAGAGAGAGAAAGAGAGAGAGAGAGAGAGAGAGAGGGAGAGAAAGCTAGAGAGTGATACAGTGTACGTCAACATGCGTGTTGAGATGTTCAACGACAAAGTGCAGTGGATCAGTGCTTTGTGGGGAAAGACAAAGCGAAGCGAGGCTCAACCGATGACAGGAGCTCGAGACGCAGCACTACTGAAGAGTGAAATAGAAAAACCACACACTGTATGCAGACCAACCGCACAAACCAAGCAGGGTGCAAAGTATGCAAGCGCACACAGCTAAATCGAAGTGAATCTCACACGGCTTGTGAGTGAATGAGTGAGAGAGAGAGAGAGAGCGAGAGAGAGAGAGAGAGAGAGAGAGAGAAAGAGAGAGACACACACACACATACAGAAGGAGATAGAGAGAGACAGACAGAAAAAGAGAGTGGGCAGCTTAATCAATGTGCGAATGTGGATTCTTGTGAGAGAATGATGATTAAGAGAAGCTATCAAAGTCGACAAGTTAGATCTGATATCGTTGGTATAAGAGAAAATCAGTGGGTGTACATCCACCGCACTTGCAGACTTGAGTGTTTCTCTTGAGACGGATGCATATGTCGCTTATTTTCTGAGTGTCAATTGGGTCATCCTGCAGGCAAGTGGTCAGTGCTTGAGTTCAATCTCGGAAAAGGTAAGACACGTTAGTGTGCAGTGTATAGAAACATTATACCAAATATGCGGTCCTTAGTAGAGACTATACCAGCAGCCTCGACTAATATACTTCAAGTTCTAGTTGGATGTGTATTGAAGATAATGCTGGGGGGGGGGGGGGTGTTATTGGAGTTGTTGATGATCAACAGTGTATCTGTTAGGCACATGTTGCATCCATTGGTCGTCTTTGAGTGACAGCAGGCGTGCAACCGGACAATGTTGGTGAAAGGTTTCATTACCAAAGAACTTGGAGAGAGAGAGAGAGAGAGAGAGAGAGAGAGAGAGAGAGAGATCCAGTGGATTCATGCTTCAAGGTGGCCTGCATCACTGGAGAGAAGACACCCACCCTGCACAAGCCTTAGGAAATGTCACGTGCAGTTCATCATCGTAGAGTAAAACAATCACCAGTGCAAGCTGCATTGCCGGCATGCTCCATGTCTCGCTTCAACACACCGCGCGGTGTTTATCACGTAGCTCATCATGCTTCAATGTGGCCTGCGTCACTGGGGAGAAGCCGCTCACCCTGTACAAGCCTTCACGAGTGCTGTGTGCTCCTCATCGTGGAGTGACACCTTTTTCCAGTGTATATCCACTTCAGGTGTATTGATGTGTTCCGCGGCAAAGTGCAGATAAGTCATGCATCGAGACAGCCTGTATCACGGGAGAGAAGCCAATCACCTTGCAAGAGCAGTAGCGAGTGCGTGTGCAATTCCTCATCGTGGAGTGCCGTTAAAACTTTTAAAAAACATGCGCCAATGGAAGTTGCTTCAGCTCCTTCTCTGCCATGATCAAGTTGCTACACAGGTCCTCATCGTGGAGTCGTATTTTTTCCCGTGTACGTCAACAGGCATGTTGATGTGTTCCGCGACAAAGTGCTGTGGATCCATGCTTTGAGGCGGCCTGAATCACTGGAGAGAAGCCTATCACCTTGCGAGAGCAGTAGCGAGCTCGTGTGCAGTTCGTCATCGTAGAGTAACGGTAGAACATGCAAAAATGTAAGCTGCATGGCACCCTTCACGTCTCGCTTCAGCTCCTTCTCTGCCATTGTTCAGGAGGTCGCACATGTCACTGACATGCATCCTCGTTTCGTGTTACATGTAGCTGTGACTTTCGTTAGGGTTCACACTTTAAAGTCAAAAGGCTTTGTCTTCACCTTCTTTCGCGCCTGCTGATGGAGTTCTTGGCATGCCAGTGTTATAAGCTAGACGTTTTCACTGCAGTAGTGAGTTGGCTAGAGTAGGCTGTAGTGCTTACGAGTTCGGAGAAAGGTTTCAAGCAATTGCGGCTTGGAGCCAGAGTTTTCTAACAGAGTTCTCTTGATAGTCGTGAGCTGGTCTTTTGTGTTGTTTGGGTGTGTGCCGAGGTAGGAGCACGCCTCTACAGAACATATTGGTAGCAGAGGATGGTTAATTAA